GGGAAGGACTTCTTTACGTGGTCGTTCGAATTTGAGCTGATGATGGAAGGAGCGCAGACCCTTGGCTTCTTCGACGGGTCCCTGCCATATCCAACAAACGGCATACAGTATGAGAAGCAGCAGTACACCTATCAGTCAATGATGGCGTACACGATTCTACTAAGAAACATCACCCCGAGTCAACAGCAGAACATAAGGACTTACCGAGGTTACGGTAACTCCGCGGAGCTCGCGTACAATCACTTGAAAAACCTGTATCAAGCAACAGACAATGTAAACCAAAGTCGGTTAATGGTGTAGCTGACAAGAATCGAAATGAAGCCAGGCGAAAAGAGAATGGCGTATATCAGTCGCTGCCGCGAGCTGCGCGACAAGTTTCTTCGATATGGAGGATGGATTTCAGAAGACGTGTTCGTCACGGTTGTCATCGGCGGTCTTGGCCCTCACTAGCGCTACACTCGCGCCATACTACGAGCACACGGGAGAATCTCCGAAGCAGCACTCTGCGCCGAAATCCATGCCGAGCAGCAGGACATGGACCTGCAAGAAGAACGACATAAGAAGAAAACGTCAGTACCAGAGTTCGCGTTTCACACCCAGCGACGCTACAGCAACAACAACAATCGGGAGCAACAACAATTGAAGCCAGTACCTCCGTTTTGCCACATCTGCAAGACTTCAAGGCATCCTCGTACGCACTGCCCGTATCGTCAGCAATCGACAACACCACAGCGACAACTTTGGCCTTCAAGTACCCAAATCACTTTAACGCAAGCAAATCCCACGACAAAGATTCAAGCTTCAACGACTCCAACAGGACAACCTGCACAAGGAGCAAAAAACATCGTCAACTGCATGGCAAAGATAACAGATTCCTGCATAACCGAGTCACCACCGCACTACTCACCAGAAGAACGACTCGACGAAACCACACCTCGCGGCGAGTCACTTCAGCAGAACCCGACATACACAGCCATCGTCCAAAACGAGCCATCCGGAAGAGACACTTGGTTCTTGGACAGTTGCCGCGAACAACACATGTGCTCTTCAGGACGTTTTGTTCAACGCGAGCACCAACTCCAACGAGAAGTCGTCATCACCGTCGCCAATAATCAGAACCTGCGTACAAGACGACAAGGCATAGTACAACTTTAGTCACGGGAGACAAACGTCGTCCTACAAATGTCGAAGGTCCTGATAGCAGGGGGACTCAGCTACAACTTACTGAGCGTCAGTCAGTTGATGGCGAAAGGCATACACCTGAAAGCTGACAGTACCACCCAGGAGTTCAAATCCTACCACTGAAAGGGAGGACTCTACATCGGTAAAGCGATCCTCAAGAACAACGTCTTCGTTCTTGACTTCGTCCCCGACCTTGGCACTGCCGCCAGCGACGCCATCGTAAACTTCGCTGACTGGACACATCCTCCAGATCTCGACCCCGACTTCAGCCCGGAAGGCTTCTGGTACTCGCATACCATCCCTGAAGCAGAACGAACACGTGCGTTAGTAATGATACAAACATCGGCAGCAGCAGAGACAACATCGGCAGCAGCAGAAACAACATCGGCAGCAGCAGAACCATCGTCAGCAGCAGCGACACCAGCTCTCGCTGACGAAGCACCACCAACACCCGCACAGTAGCTGAACCCAACTCAACGAGAAGTCCACAAAAGCGCAAACTTCGTCGCTAGCTTCTACTCCAACTCCGATGCATATCAACGCTCACCCGGACACCCCGCCTCCGAAGACATCTGACACGTACGCATGGGACATCCAAGCAACACTGTGTTAAATAACACAATAACGGGCACGAGGAACCTGCCTTACCTGCCCCGAAGCCGACTTACCACATCGACCGTTCACTTTTCACCACAACCCGAGCGCACCCGCGAACGCACCACTCAAGAAGGTGTACAGCGATATTCTCTACAATCGAGAACCAAGACAAGTTACTTACAACTACACGATCACCTTCATCGACGCCCCCACTCGATACGTCTGGTACCTAAACCTACCCAGCGGCGACATGGCACTCGCAGCGTTCGCCGCCTGGCTATCAGTAACAGAGAGAGTCCAGTACCAATGATCTCCCGGACATCGCGCCGACGAAAGCACCTGGCACGCAAGGATGGGACATCCAAGCAACACAGTATTAAACAATACAATAAGAGCAGGAGTACTCGACAAGGACTCACTCCTACTGACCGACGGACGAGAACTTCAACGAGTACGCGGAACGTGCTTCACCTACCCTGAAGGTGACTTACCACATCGACCGTTCGCGCCTCATCAAAACCCGAGCGCTCCCGCGTACGCACCACTCGAGAAGGTGTATAGCGACATCCTATTCAATCGGGAACCAGGACAAGTAACATACAACTACACGATCACCTTCATCGACGCCGCCACCCGTTACGTTTGGCACCTAAACCTACCTAGCCGCAACATGGCATTTGCAGCCTTCGTTGCCTGGCTACCAGTAGCAGAGATTGAATCGGGCGTACAACTGAAAAGTTTCCAGTCAGACGGAGAAGGACAATACACCTCTCAGCGATTCAAGCAGTCCCTGGCGGAAAGAGGGATCGAGCAGCTCATCTCCCTTCCCTACGCCCATCAGCAGCAAGGTGTCGCTGAAAGAATGAACAGGACTCTGCAGAACAACACGCGCAAACTGTTACGTGGCATGCGGCTACCCAACCACTAGTGGCCTGCAGCAATGGACCACGCTGTCATGCTGCAGAACTTGATGTCGTCGTCCTCACTTCCAAACAACGCATCACCGCATTTGCTGTGGACACGGAAATAGGGCAGCACAAAAATGTTACAAGTTTTTGGGTGCATGGTACAGTACCGACCCCCAAAAGCACGAGCGGGAAGATTTTCACAACGCGCACAGTGGGAACTACACCCCGGCATCGAAAAGAACTACAATGCGTGGAAACTTTTCGACGTCCACTCCAAGGAAACAGTAGCAGCATGTAACATAATCTTCTACAAGCCACTCACACTTCAGACGTACCTCGCCAACTTGCACGAAAATCAAGATCCCACAGGTGGCTTTCGTGGTGACCGAGCCTTCGCCTCAGCAGCGGACGAAGAAGACTGGGACGAGCAGAATGTGGACAACGCATCAGAAGAAGCCGGACCTCTCCCGTTCTGCTCCGTCAACGTCCCCATGG